TTAACCAACTGAGCCACTCAGCCGGCCCATCTGGATTAGTTTTCTTATTTCTCCCTCACTCCTACACTCTTAGCAATTATTTTACTACCCTTGTGTTCATGCAAATAACACATATTTACAAGCCCTGACCATTTACTAAGCACAAGGCTAGGCCCAGAGGATGGAAGGGAGATGGCAGAGAAGCCCTCTGCTGCCAAGGAGCTTGCAGACTAAGTCTTTGTGTGTTTTTGTAAGCCACCTCCAATTTTCTATGGAACGATGCAAAGAATTAATAAAGCCCAGTCCCTGTTTTTAGTAATGAGGAAACCAAACGTGCCAACAAATCACTGTTGCAATCCTGTGAGCCGAACACCATAAAAAGGCTGGGAACCCAAAACACTGAGCTGTGTGATGCTGGCCCCATCCCCCAGCCTGGCCCTCCTCCAGTTTCCCTTATCTGTTAAAGGTTCGCCCGCCATCCAGTCAGTGGCTAAAGCCCTCAGGCATTGGCTCTTCCCACTTCCATGCCCAGGTCATCTGCCCTATCGATGAGAGCACCCCCTGAAGACCTCTGGACTGTGCCCAACTTCACTCTCCAGGGCTCCCAGACTTGCTAGGGGTCTTCTCTTACAGGGGTCACCCAATAACTTCCTCCCTGGTCTTCTTGTCTCCACTTCAGCCACTTCCCACCCGCTGTCCATCCAGCTGATGTGTCACTGTATCATTTCTGCTTCTAACCTTCTAAAGCTTCTCTTTGCTGCCCTTGAGCTAATATCCTGGCAGAACAGCCCAGAGATTAGGATTGTGGGCTTTGGAGCCTGAATCCCAGCTCTGCCACTTACCAGCTGTGTGATCTTGAATGATCTACTTAACTTCTCTGCCTTAGATGTGGCAAAATAAGATAAGGAGATAAATGAGAATAATACATGATAAAGAGATAAATTAGATAATGAATGCTCCTACCTTTTATAGCAGTTGTGAGAATTAAAAGTTAATATTATAATGATAAGGCCCTTGTGATTTCCTGAGAGCATTAAGTTCTCTCTGTCTGGTCCCCCCTCCAACTCCTCTGAGCTGAAGTTGGCCCAGGAACCCAGCTCTTCTTCCTCACTGGATCTCCAACAGCTGGATACACAGTATGTTGAATGAATGAAAGAATGAGAAAGGCATTGCATTTGGGTTCTAATGGATGAATAGGAGTTTTCCAGGTAAAGAAATGATGGAGACAGGGCTATAAAAGAGCTTGTTGCATCCTTGGGGCTGGAGGCTCCCAGTGCCTGTAGGACAGAAGGGAGGTGAGGCTGGAGAGGAAGGCTGGGTTCAGTCCAGACCTTTCTGTATGGGCAAAGGACATTCATGAAGAGAAGGCTTTTGTGACGGAATGGCAGTTGCTTGCAGGAGAGACTGAGGCCAGGATATGTGACTAAGCTCCAGGGGAGCAATGAAAAGGCCTGAACTAGGGCAGTAGCTGTGGGAACAGAATGAGGAAGGATTTGAGAGCTATTTGAGAGAAAGAAGTAATATAATCTCCTAAACACTTTTACTGAATGCCTCCTAGGAAAGATGTTATGGGATTGCAGAAATAAAGAGCAGAAGTAGCATTTTCTTCTGTCTTAAAGTAGCTCAAATCCTAGGAGAGGCAGACAGACCTATAAATAAAAATATGGATGCAGGGAAGGTCAAATTCAGTATCACTGCAGCCAATCTCATAGAGAGATCACTATACATGTAAATTCAGCAAACTAAAGCACCATGCATTTCTGAGTGCCTCTGGAATCTACCCCCAGGCTTTTTTTAAGTTCTCAAATTTTTATTTGGTTAAAACACACTACAGTATATTTCCACAACCCACCAACTTTTAGAGGCAGTGTAGTATAGAGGTTTAGACTTAGCAGTCCATGATCTTGGACAGGTTACAGAATTCTCTTAGCCCAAGCCCATCTTAGCTATCATATGAAGATGGAGACAGAAGCATGGGGGAGAGAGAACGTGGAGGAGTGGGTAGGGACAAGATACTCCAGGGCTTTGTGAGCTACCATAAAGGTTATGGATTTTATTATGGATTTAGTCCAATGGAAAGCCACTGAGGTGGCGTTTTGGTCCTAATTTTAGCACTTTTCAAATGAGATATAATTTGCCTACAACTAAATGCAAGTGTTGAGTTCCATGAGTTTTGACAACTGCACACATCTGTGTAACCACCTCCTGAAACATTTCTATTACCCCAGAAAGACCCTGCCCGCCACTTTTCAGTCAATTCCCCCCATCTCCACAGTACTGAAGGGTCTAAATACAATATTGTGTTTGCATCACTCTGGCCGCAGCGCAGAGGACAGCTTGAGACCAGCAAGGAGATTATGGCACAAACCAGGCAAGAGATGACGGATTGCATCGAGGTCGCCTAGCAACCACGAAGCGTTGTCTAAGGATTGACCGCTCAGCACTTTGTAAAGGGGAAGCACCGCCCCCTTCAGGCCCCGCCCCACCCTTTCCGCGAAGGAGCCAGTAGGCAGCGCCGCCACACGTCCGGGGGCGGTAAGGAGCTTCTTATTGGTCGGTTCTCCGGAAGCAAAGGGATTCTGAACCTCGCCCAAAGTCGTGCGATCTCTGGCTGCGTTTGCGTGCGCGGTGCGTGACGGCGGCGCGTGGTGCGTGGCGCGTGGGGGCTTGGTGCGCGAGGCGCGCGACGTGGGCTCTGTTATGCTCCGCTGAACTGAGGTCCCCCCACTGAGCCTCAGTTTTCCTCCCTATGCAGTAGTGGAGCATGCCCCGCAAGGGGCACTCCAGGCCCTACTGCGCAGCCCCACTGCCAGTCTTTGAGAGGGTGTCTTAGCGTTTGGGACTAAACGGAGGGAGCTCGGGGATCCCCATCGCTCCAGGCCCCGATGCGTGACTGACCCTCCGGTTCCCAGAGCCTCCAGCGCAGGCCAGGATGTTCGTCTTGGTGGAGATGGTGGACACCGTGCGGATTCCCCCGTGGCAGTTTGAGAGGAAGCTCAACGACTCCATTGCCGAAGAGCTGAACAAGAAGTTAGCCAACAAGGTACTGGGCCCACGGGGTCGCGGGTAGGCCCTGGGACGGGAGGGCCCGGTACTGCCCAC